ATTAATTGATGAATAGGTTGAAAAGCGGCTAAATGAGGAGGAACAACGTATAAGTAATTATCTTTCACCGACAACTGAACCTGGAATTCGGAGTATCGTCGAGGAACAATTGATCTCGAAACATCTTAAAACAGTTATTGAGGTAAGCCTCTTTGCCAAGCTCATTGTAGTTTTTATCTGTTTCTGAATCTCTGTGTTATATAGATGGAAAACTCTGGATTGATCCCGATGTTAAACCATGAAAAAATGGATGGTAATTATCAATTCCAATTGCTAGAGTTAAAAGGCGGCGTCGAAGGATTATGTGTTTTTGCAACTCACAAATTCATCCTAATATAATCAACTACATGATAATCACATTATTTCATATTAAATGCAGACCTTGCACGAATGTACAAATTATTTAGTCGAGTACAAAAAGGACACGAAGAAATGAAAAGTGCCATTAGCGCGCATATCCGCGATCTTGGCAAAGCTATTAATGAAACTGTGACGAGTGCCACTTCAACAGAAGGAGGAAGTTCTAATAACGCTGCTGGTGATAGATCAGCGGGAACAGTTATAGCAATACGATGGGTACAGGAGGTTTTGGATCTTAAAGATAAATTTGATAAAGTTTTAAGTCACGCACTTATGAACGATAAAGCTTTTCAAACATCATTCAATGAGGTTGGTTCTTCATGCTTATTTTCTTATTTGTCAGGTATGGATTCTTAAAACTTTAAATTTTCTTTAGGCCTTTGGCGATTTTATCAATAAGAATCCAAAATCTCCCGAATTTATATCATTATTTATTGACGAGAATCTAAAGAAAGGATTAAAAGGAGTACGCATTTTGTCCTTCAATTTATTTCTATCACTTTTTTCTTATGAACTAAATTTGTACCCCTTTTTTTTTGTTTAATTAGAAAACAGAGGAAGAGGTTGATAATGTTCTCGACAAAACATTAACATTATTCCGCTTCATAACAGAGAAAGATGTATTTGAACGTTATTACAAACAACATCTAGCCAGACGATTACTAAATCAGCGAAGTGTGAGTGACGATGCCGAAAGAGGAATGATCGGAAAACTGAAGGTTGTATGAGATGATTGAATGTGTTGAATTTCGGTAATTATTAATGCATTGAATTCATTATTAATTTGCCCTTTTTTTCCCTGATAGTCTGAATGTGGATATCAATTCACGACAAAGCTAGAAGGAATGTTTAATGATATGAGAATTTCCAATGATACTATGGTTGACTTTAGAGAGTTCTTAGATAAACCAGACATGGAAGTAAGTAATTCTTTTTACCATAAAAAGTGAATTGTGAGTAATACTAATTATACATTTTTAACATGTTAGCGTCCTAGAATGGACCTCAATGTCACTGTTCTCACTTCCACTTTCTGGCCAATGAATTTAGCGGCTAGTCCACGATGTAACTTCCCTGCTGAAATCACCAGAGCATGCGAAACTTTCCAAAGATTCTATCTAGGCCGACATAGTGGACGTAGACTCACATGGCAAGCACAAATGGTGAGAATATAACTCTAATAATAATTCGAACTGATAAAGCTATTCGTGATAATAATATCAAGGATGATAAATATAGGGGAATGCTGATCTTCGTGCCACATTTAAAACTCGAAAACATGATATTAATGTGTCCACATGTGCAATGGTGATTCTACTTATGTTCAATAATTTGCCGGATGGGCAAAACCTTTCTTATGAGGTAACTAATATGTTATATATAACAAAAGTTTCTACGATGTCAACCAAATCTAAACTAAATTAATTTTGTCCGATAGCAAATAAAAGGCGAAACTGATATCCCAGAGGCAGAATTAAAGCGTAACCTGCAGTCACTTGCCTGCGCAAAATATAAAATACTCGTCAAAGAACCAAAATCAAAAGAAATCAACTCGGACGATAAGTTCTTCTTTAATAAAGACTTTTCCGCGCCTCTACAGCGTATTAAGATTCAAACTGTTGCCAATAAAATGGAAACAGAGGGAGAACGTAAAGATACGCGGGAAAAAGTTGAAGAAGCTAGAAAACATCAAACGGAAGCTGCCATTGTTAGAATTATGAAAGATAGAAAGACGATGGAGCATAATAATTTGATTACTGAGGTGGTACGACAGTTACAGCCAAGGTTTGTGCCCAATCCTGCTATGATTAAGAAACGTATCGAGGCACTAATTGATCGAGAGTATCTGGAGAGAGCACCGGGTGATAGGTTAGAATTCTCTTATTTCTTTTGTGAAATTTTGAATTCCGATTTTCTAGCTGATAATCTTTGTTTTTGATCCAAAATAGGCGAATTTATAATTACCTTGCATAAATTCAATGTCAATAAAATACAGGAAGGACTTTTTTTATTTGTTTGTTAAAATAAGATTAATCTCATTCTTCTATCGTTATTAGTATTATTAGTAGTAGTACTAATACAACTACTGGGTTTAGGTTCAAATGAGAGTAACTGTAATCTTGCGCAATTTGTATTTACATATAAAATCACCGATATCCTATATCCCGTATTTTCTTCCTCCGTTTTCATCGTTAAACTGCTTTTCTCTCCACTATTACTATTTTGCGTATATGCCACATATATAACTACTACTTTCTTTTTTGTAATATTGTTTATCTTCACTTTGTTATTGATATAAAACAAGCAACCTTTCGTATACGAATGAAGATTTTGGAATTTGTTGAATTTTTATTATACTAACTACTAATAGCCAACAATAACATACACGATTCACACCAAAACAAGCATTAATATATAACTATCTCTTGTAGGTCGCCTGTTAATTATGCCAAAATAGCTTGAAGTTCTGCATGACCTGCTTTAGACTGTAAATATTTGTATCGTTCAGTTCCCCAACGATAAATGCCGTAGGCAAAAAGACCAGGAATCCCAATGTATGGAAGTTGAGACATAAAGCGGCGATAAGTATTGAAGACACCATGCTTTAAAGCGCCGGCGAAGGCTCGTTGTTCATACGGAGAAAGGGAATAAGTGACAACCCCACGTTGAACTGGTCCTCCCAGGTGACCCCACCATGCGTGACGTATTCCTCCCATTATTTTTATCGTAGATGCTAGTGTAAACGTGAAAAGGCCTTGCGAGTTGTAGTTGTGGTTGTGGTGGTTGGTTGGTAAAAATGCGAAAAAATAAAATTCCGATGTGCCGGGCCAAAAAAGTCTAAAGTGTTAATTCATTAAATCAATGCTCGCCGAACGCATTAACGTTAACGTATAGTACAACAGAGGATAGAGGGAATAAACATGAACTCTTAGATTGATTGGCGGGATAGGCGTGCAGATGGTCTGTGTTCACTCACAATTTGATACTTTTAGGCTGAAATCTTTCAATATATAAATCGTGCGTTTAGACTTTTCGGTGACAGCGGACGACAAAGATAACATGAATTCTTTTATGTCGGTAGGTAATGAGCTTTATTTCTTGGATGTTCTCGCATGTTCTCCCTGGTCTACTTTTTCTAATTCTGGGCAAGTTAGCACTCTGACGGTGACGAATTCAGCCTTCACACAGCTCCGGTTGGTGATGAACTGGGGTAAGATAACCGACTGAAATATAGTTTATGTCCGTGTGCAAATGTGAGGGAATGGTCTTTGAGTTTCATTAGTTGGTGTATAATGAATAATTTATAACGTGACATTCCTCCTTTTTTCTGTGTTTTAGTAATGGTGAGGAATTGCCTGACCTCGTGCAAGATCATAGGCCACGACTGTTAATTATGGGCTTGAGAAGGAAAACTTATTTTTATCATTTTTTTTGTTGGAGACCTTCAGTGTCTTGTATTTCTAATTCTCTCGGTCGTTTCTTTGCCTTTAATAGAAGTGGGAAATCAAGCATACAGAAAGTGGTATTTCACAAAATGCCCGCAAACGAGACCTTATTCCTTGAAAGTAACAGTAAAGTCGTTAAGGAGAATATAACGTATCCTTGACACCTTCGGACATAATTAATTATCAATACCCGATCTCTTGATTAATTTAAACTCTTTTTCTTTAAAATAATTAAGCACGTGCGAACAGTGAAGAGAAAGATCAAATTTTATATCCTTGACCATTTTTTTAATATACACAGTTCATTCATTGATTTTCAAGTGTGGGATTTTCCCGGTCAGATAGATTACTTTGACCCAGCTTTCGACTCGAATGTAATCTTTGGGGAATACGGTGCGTTGATTTTTGTGATAGACGCACAAGTGAGTTAAATTTATAACTTTTGAGTAAATTGTGGAAACAGTAAAGGGAGAGATATTAATGGATAATTTCATTAAACACAGGATGATTATATTGAAGCCCTCCAACGTCTACACCAAACTGTGACGCGTGCATGTCGTGTCAACCCCGAACTCACTTTCGAAGTATTCATTCATAAAGTTGATGCTTTGTCAGATGAGTACAAAATTGACACGCAACGCGATATACAACAACGAACTACTGATGAATTGGCGGATGAGGGACTCGAAAACGTACCGATCAGTTTTTACCTGACGAGTATCTATGACCATTCGATCTTTGAAGCTTTTAGCAAAGTTATCCAGAAACTTATACCTCAGCTGCCGACCTTGGAAAATTTGTTGAATATCTTGTGCTCGGTATGTGTGTGTGTGTGTGTGTATGTGTGAAATGCAAAATTAATCATCGGCGATTATTGCTAAGCTTTTTTTCTTTAATAAATTAGAGTTCAGGCATAGAAAAGGCCTTCCTATTTGATGTCAACTCAAAGATATATATTGCAACTGATAGTTCACCAGTAGATATGCAATCATACGAAATATGTAGCGACATGATTGATGTTATTATTGATATCTCGGAAATATATGGGTATGTGATTGGTTGATGGTTTCATAAGACATCGGAACTATGCATCTCAATTATGCGTTTCTATATATTTTAGTCGGACAAACACATATCGGTTCCTGACCAATGATGCTTTCTCGGATGATAAAGCATCGTCGATTAATACGGCCCATAATACCGCTACCATAACAAACGGAGAAAATTCCTCTAATTATGGAACAATAACGGAAACAGCCGATGAGGCGTCATCCGTGATAAAATTGAATAATGGAATGGTGTTGTGTCTGAGGGGGGTAAACAGGTGAGATTTATGAGAGTACGTTTTTGCGGTCAAATCGGTTACTAATTATGACTTGATAAATAAATTAATGGTTAGATTTCTGGCTCTCGTTTGTCTACTTCGGGCGGACAACTACGAAAAACACGGGTTGATCGAATACAATTTCCATTGCTTCAAGCAAGCAATAGCAGATGTGTTCGAATTGAAGCGACGTACGTTTGAACGATATCGACAGGAACGACTTCGAATAACGGGAGGTGGAGGTGGTAATCCGGGAGAAGAGAATACAGGTGGATGAATTCTAATTATTATTATTATTTAATTTAAAGTTGACATATTGATAAATATACAATATATCATATTTATATTTATAAATATATATATAACACACATACATTTTATTTATTGGAAAGCAAAAGTCGAATATGAAAGGTAAGATGGACTTGATGAAAATTTATACTGGGCATAGTTGTTGACTCTTATATTAATTATATATTAATTATACAACAACAGATACTCTTTTTTTGCATAAATCATCTTCATAGTCATATAATAATCATCATAATAATATAATAGTAATATTAAAAAAAGGTTTGTGATGAGAGAAATAAAAATTTTTTCATCTTGGATTCAGGATATCACACGAAATAAAACCTCTATCATTATTATGATTAGATGGAGGCTGTGTAGATATTTGTATGTCCGATGGTCTTTTTTGGAAGTTTATTTTTTTTAAAGTATTACCACAATAAGTAAAAAACCTGTCAATTTTGATCTCAAATCAAAGAAAAATATAATATCGAAAAAATGAAAATCGATTTCTTGAATCAAATTTCATGATTTTAGTTTACAACATAAAGCGGAACGAAGACTATAAGAATGACAAACAAAGAGTTACGAAATAACGAACAAGAAATTTTATAAATAACAAAAATAATAGAAAATAATCAAATATTAAAGAATGATAATTATACAAACTGCGTAAATCTATATAATAATATAGGAGAGATAGATAAATATGTTGATGCCTATTGTGATTGTTATTAATGTATCTCACAGTCATTAGCCATAGAAATAAATAATAAATATGTAATGCAAAATCATCCCGATGTTTAAACGTCTCATTCATCATCATGAAAGATGACCATCACCATCATCTTTTCTAATTGATGTGAAATCAATCCCAATGTTAATATCCACCATACTGTTGTTGACCATATCCTTGGTGTTGTTGTTGCGGTGGTGGTTGTTGTTGTGGTGGATAATAAGAGCCGCCGCCACCACCCAAAAATCCTGATTGATTATTAGCATTATAAGCCAGCTCATCCTCGCCCAGCAACTCCTTAACCTCCCACACATTCTGTTTACTTCCCACAGAGAATTCCAAATCCTCTTTTGTGATCGAATCCCAATACTTATATACCATCATCACCGCCAATAGACTACATATGGTGCCAAAGAATAGTCCATCTATATAGTGTTTAGCTGCATCACAAATTCGCACCGAGAATACGTACAAGATTACTTGTCCGGTCACGTAGAAAGCTACTCCGAACATGATGTCGCCGAGCGGCCAGCGATCATCCAGGGTATTTAGCACCAAGATCACTTGAAGAACAACGTAGAATGCTAGTGCCACTCCGTTAAATACGAATAACACTATCCAGAGCGCTACTGGTTTAAGTGGGTTGAAGCCAGCCATGTTTTTAAATGTTGCTATTGCTAAGAAGAAAATTGCGGTGAACACCACAAATGACGAAATGCGTATTGACTAATAACAATAGACAGGTTGGTTAGAAGCGTGTATAGTTATCAAGCGAAATGAAATCAAATAAGTGATTAAAAAAAATTACCCAAAGTGATAATGGAGTGCCATCTTCGGCGAGTTGGAATCCGACAAAACCATTTAATAATAGACACCAGAAAGTGGCGGTAATAAGTCCAACATGTGCAGCTGTAAAATACTAATGAGAACATGATAATCAAAAAAGTGATCAATGGAGATGCCATCAGAATACGATGCCCCTCTAAAAATAACCTAAGGACACGATGAAAATAAAAAAAAAGAATTACTGGATAAACGGTCGATGCAGTTGGTATGATTCCTGATACGAGTAATAATTCTAAGAATGTGACCATCATGTACAAGTAAAAGAACATGACCATCTCCTTACGACCTGAATCATCAAATCGATCATTATTAAAAAAAACCGAGCAAACAATTAAGGATCGAAAATCAAAAGATTAACTGACCAACAGCCGTATATTTTGATTTAATGTGATAAATCATGATTGACGTCATAACCAGTGCAATAACATGGATTATAAGGGTTGCTAACGGATAGAATCAGATTAATTATACGATTTGATATGTATTGTGTATTACTGATACTAAAAAAGGTATTAAACAAAAAAATCACCTGGTTGAAACAACAGTGTCCCAGCTACCTCGACATTTCTCGAATAACAGTCTGGTTCGATGCCGTCCGGCGAACCTACAAGCGGACATATGGTTAATGCGACTGTCTCGCAAATCCGGTTAAAGTCCCCGAATTGGACCATTGTTCACTGTTATATGAATTTTTTTCTTTGCTATGTTTCGCTAATTACTTGAAAGAAAAATAATCTAGTACTAAAGGTGTATTGCTGCGGAAAACGGTTGAGATTTAAACAAAAGTTCACCCAAAAATATTATGACTTTTTTTTCCCAAAATTGTGCAAAATACCAACACTCAAAAATACATATGATAGATATGGTAGATAGAAAAGTTTTAATAAAGCGCACGACTAAGGCGGAGAATCCTCACACACACCATATACAAATATTTAAATAAATATTATTGTTTTTAAAAGGAAGGCAAAAGAAATCAATAAAGTAGTCACAGAACGGAAAGCAACCTAAAATTAAAATATTCGAAAAAACTGAAAGAGGCTTTGTATTTGTATTTAATGAATTAACTAACTCCATGTATAGAATTCCAGATATTATTCGCGTGTAATACAATAAAAACTAAAACGAAGAGGAGCCACCACGATAAATCATCTACATTCTATATTTACTCTCATAATAATAAACCCTATGCTTCTCCTTTCTATACTTGGACTAACCCTCAGTAACTTTTGATATATAAATATAAATTGACAAAAAAAAATAAAAAAGCTTAGCCTCAACTACTCGAATCAAGGGGTTGTTATAATTTTGTGCTCTCTCATGTAAATTAAAAAAAAGAAGTAATTTCCAGATTTGCATCAGTATAATATATCCATAATTAGCCTGGACTGGTTAAGCCAAAAATCTAATTACCCTATATTTGATCCAAGCTATGTTCTTATCTTCAAACAAACAAAACTTTTTTTTAGGGATCCAATTCCAAAGAAACATTTTCTGAATCTCACTCGAGTCGTTAATAATATACATAATAAGACTAGTCTGAATACACTTTACCCATAAATGCACGCTTTGGACCTATTTTTTAATGCGTACTCTATAAATGCACATCCCTAAGGGGTGCACTTAACTTAGGGGGGGAAGTTAATTCCACCGGAAACTATATTTCTCTCCAATGCGAGCTTTCTATGTCGTTTAGAAGTACTGCGCCTGTTTATTTAAATTCATGGTTCTATTAATTTTTGCATCGAAGTTTCAAGCTCCATAGTAATGACATGGATTTGTAAATAAAAAAATAAAATAAAACTTTTTAAAAAAAAATTTAGTATAAGATACCAGTTTATAAGTTGTTGGACCTAATTTAACAAGGGTTCTAATATTAAATACAGTAATTTAATTATGATGAGTTCGCAATATAATTTTGATTTTAAATAAATTAAAAATTTCGGTGTTTTAAATTTAATTTTCCGTTTTATTATCATGTTATTTAAGTTTTAGCGTGCCTATCAATTTAGTACCATTAAATAAAACCCACCTTTTTAACTTTGTTCGTTTCCGCATAACGTATTAATCTATGAATTCAACGTTCCAACATAAGAGCTTTGTTGAATTGATACAAACGTCGTCGGATCATCGGCTAATTTACGACGCGACTATATTTTTTCACTTAATTGTGCTAGCGTTAGTTCCTAACATAATCGGTTTACTAAACTTTCGTGGTATTATGAATTGCCGTATCAATATAGCGTAGGCCTGAAAGAACTATTTGTGCAGAAATTTGTGACGAGAATTTACGTTGACAATACGATATCTGGATAAAAAGAGTGTTCTTAAACTATAGAAAAACGACCACTTAAGATTTATTCATCTATCCTTTGCTCTATACTTAATAACGCGACACAATCTTTATTATTATTCGGGAAAATGATTCGTCTTCTTATTTATCGAACATTCCTTTAACAATGTCAATGTAGCTAGTCATCATGTTAAGCAGATCGCTTTCTTATGTTTTGTCCCCTATTAAGATCACTCATATCCAACAACACCATCGTGTAAGGATTACGAAATCCAAAACATTACACATAAAATTTACTCCACCTACCCTAAGAGATTTGGGCGCAGACATTCAAATATTGGCATTATCGTTATTGCTGAGACGTTCACGGTTTTCGCGAGATCAGAAGTTGTAGTGTCTATTTCGTAGACAATATTGAAATATCATTACATGTATGTTGAGATTCAAATAGTAAACGCTTAATCTCATAAAATCAACGAGTTCTTTATAAATATCCAATGTTCATGCAAAAGGAACTTTCTTTTCTAATATTCAAATTGCTCGCGCTACGCCAGTTTGGATTGATTCCTTCCTTAGTTATTTACGATGAAATTCATCTATCAGTTTTCTTCGACAGGATAATTTCGGGATTGCGTTTTAAGGAAAATTAATCTATTTGTTAATCTTCACAATTGTTATTAGCGAATCTTGGGTCTTATCATACCGATAAATTATAATGTACCGCATCTAATATATCTTCAATGAACCAAACTGCTCTTTATTTCTTATAACAATATCAATGTTTTATCAATTGAAATTTTCGTGCAAAGTCAATACTTATAACTGACATAAACAATTGTGTTATCTATCTTTATCCTAGATCTCTTTTGTATAAAATCCTTCTATAAGATGAACGTTATTTCCTGAAAAGTTCGAGATGAATCGTTTTCATTATCTTCACCCGCTGATGTCATTAGGCTACTACTGAAAGAGACTTGAAGGCAAGATATGTAGGAGCAAAATCAAAGAGAATCTATAACTCACTTACATTCGCTACTATGCTTCAATTGTCGGTTACAAACTTACAACAATTTTCATACGGTTTCTTTAGGCCTGTTGAACAGCACTATAGGTTAAGATAATATGATGACAAATATTACTAGCTAACCGAAGAAACTGAAGTTATACGCATTATTATTGGTTTAAATTACTTCAAATTTTCTTTTTTTTGATGACAGCTAAAGATCTATAAGACAAATGAGCGTGATAATATCATGGAATAAATTGATACAGGGCAGCCAGTTTTAAACTCAACTATAGCATGAATTATAGCGGAAATTTTGTAATTCATTTTCGGAATATGCTCTTTCTTTTTAAGGGATTTTTATTTTCATATACAATATAAAACATTTGTAATTCATAAATTTTGAAAGTGATAATTGTATCATATTGACCTCTTTTTGTAAAATCGACGCGAGAATTAATATTAGAGCGAAGTTAAAATAATGGTTATAAATGATAAAAATTGCATATTTATAAAAATATGATACGAAAATAACGGTTGGTCACGTTGTGATCTTTTAGTGTGACGTCCAATAGAAATTCATCAACAACACGTCTTTCGCTAGGGTCTAAAATAATGATTTTTCACACATCGTCGTCGTTATAGTTATATCGTTTTTCTTTTCAAAATGTCTCTTGTACCTCGTCAACATTCTTCTATCCCTGGCAAGAAGCCAATAAAAAGGGCTCTGCATAGTTTAGCAAGATTAATCAAGCCACATAGTCCTCACTTACCGGATCATTCAATACTCGAAAACAGGTGGCATCACACGCATTTTAAATATCCGTCTTGTATTAACTTGTATGGATTTCAGTTTACCCTACAAGATCGGCACGAAGGTACCGATAAAAAAATACAATAATTTCCTGGAACATAAAGAATCTTCTGAATATAAATATCAACGAGAAGCAAACGGTGACGTTTTCGTGATATACGAGTAATGGAGAGCATGGTGCTGTTACTATGTTATTACAACAACGTTTTAGAGTCGCCAATGGTGGTGTTGAATATGACCCACCGATAGATGTTGGTAATGATGAATGTAAGAGAATTCCTCTAGTCTGTTTCCTTTGCCTATTATCGATTTTCGAATACTCACATCCTTTCCTTAGTTCATTATGATCCAACTGGAACTGGTATTTACATTGCAGCGGATGTTATAGTATGCCCAGATATTGCTTATGTCCAACGACCTGTTCTTCCATATCCTGGACCTCCGCCTGGAACCAAAAATGTATTTTGAGCTTGATTTTTGATTTGAATGTGATTTTCTGATATTAATATTTTTCATCTAGGGTAATCCCCATGCCCGAATCATTTGTGAAGTGGGTAATATGCAGTCCATGGATTATTTGATCCAAGAATGTCAACGTTGGATGAATCAACCTTATGTTCGATACATTCTTGGAATTAAATTACATGACAAACGTACTACAAGAGATAACTTAGGACGATATTATAGATCAATGACGGCTTTATTGTGGCAACAGGGAATAGCTGGATATCAGCTAGTAAAATTCCATCATTCTTTTTTTTTTATAATCAAACAACTAAATAATTTCTCACAGAAAAATATTTTTAGTGGGATTTCGGAACTCATCAACTAGGAAGACCAACTAATGACCGTTATCTTACTGGATGTAACGCACCTAATATTTCTGCGTTCCAAATAAACATTCCAGTAGCACTAGTGTTCTGGGATCCGCCAATTCCATCTGTAGCTGGATATACGCCTGTAGTTCCTCTAGAAATTACTGCTGTTAATTTTAACATTGATCTGTATCGTGTTCAACAAGTAGTTTTAAAAAAACAAAAAAATTAATTTCATCAATGCAAATATATACTAGTTTGCATAGTCTATTTTAATTATCAATGATAGACGAATGTGTTACTTCATTGAATTAAATAAATTTTCTGATATGTTCAAATCTTTATAATTATTATTCTTGAAAAAAGATCCTAAAGGAATGTTATTATAAAAGTATAATTATTTAATAACTGAAAATTCAAATTGAATAACTATAAAAAAATAATGAAATAAGAATTTGATTATATATAAAAAAGTTAAATATGATATTTTAAATAAATTTGAAATATTGAATCTGAATTTATTAAAATAACAAGTTATCAAGCTTAAAGAATATAAAATCAAAATAAATTATTAAGAAATTCAAAAAACAAAATCCAGCTGTAAATAATATTTTATAATTTTAAATTTATTCAGAAAAATATTAGTTTTAATATAATATTATTATATTAATTTTCAAATTAAAAACTTAAATTTTAATTGATTATAAAATAATAATTTAGAAATATTATTTTAATTAGATATTTTATTATAAAAATATCTCTAAAACAAATTTTATTAAAGATTTAACTTATAAATAGAATTAAAAAATAAAATAAAATTTATAAATATTATTTATATATTTTAAAAATAAGAAATATTAATTAATTAAAAAAAATTATAATTAAATTTATTGTATTTTTTATATTTATTTAAATAAAATTATTAAATAAAATATAAATATAAATTAAAATAAAATCAAAAAATAAATATATTTTATTTATATTTAATAAAAAATTATTTAAAAATTAAAAATATATATTATATTTTATTATATAAAATATAATTAGATATTTTTATAGTTATATTTCTTTATAATTATCTTTTTAAGTTTTTCAATTACTAATTAAAATTATAATTAAAAATCTTTTTACAATTATATCTTTCTTTAATTATTTAATTTTAATTTTTAAATATAATAATTATAGAAAGATTTGATTATATTTTAAATATAATATATTTTATTTATATTATTTTTGAATTATATTATAACCAATCACCTATTCATATAGTACAATAGATACAGTACAGTATATAACACAGTCACAGTACATGGCACAGTAATCACTGATTACTATTAAATTAGATGAATAAGTAATTTATATTAATTAATCTTATTTATAATTAATTCTATTTTTAGTTTATATTATTA